AGGAAGATCGCCAACCGGGTGGACGGACATTGTCAAGGAGGCCACAAACACCAGCGTCCCGGGCGCTATTAAGCAGGCCGAATGCAAACAATGTTGAAGGAAGCTGGTGCAAAAACTAGACCAAGGTGGTCACGACTCTCATTAATGAGGAAGCGACGAAGAAGAATATAATACGACTGTCTTAGTGCTTAGATCAAACACGCGCAAACGCTTCACGACTGTAATGACTAAGCTGCCGGCAGAATCTGCCGGGTCAGCCCTAAATTGGTGAAGCCTCTCATTCGAATACAACTGAAAATATTGTTCTTTTCATTAAGCACCCTGCTAATAGTAAACGAAAAGGCCGTATGTATACCTGTTTGTCTGTTGCTGAAATGGTTTAATTACAAAACATTTGCCAATTGCTAACTAGCTTGATCGCGATAGCTCGGATTAAAAGTTTTACAACGAACAGAGATAATAATTACTGAATCTGTTAAGCGTAATATGGTATTAGATGATAGCATACGTGTGTATGTATAAACTGTGACTGAATACAACGACACGTGTGACGTCATATGTGGCTAAAACAACCAATTGCGAAGCGACTAACTATGGAATAAGAATGATCAGGATGATGCATTCTACGAGAGCTTATGAGTAGGTATTGCCCCATATAACTCAATTTTAGACTAACGCATAGTGACCAGTTCAAATTAACAAAAGTTTTCGTAGCCGTAGACTCTCGGTGTTTTTGATCGAGTGATGAGATTACGCCATTGCTGAAATCCCGCAGGCAGGCAATAATCAGTATATTCTGATAAAATTCATACTTAAAATATCCTCACGACTGACTTCCACGATGAAGGAATAATGTCGTTGTCTAGTAAGGGCTGTCCCACCCTTTGAACCCCAAAACAAGAAAAGCGGTAGTACCTATCCGTGCCGTTTCACAATACGCCCAACCAGCAAATGCCGGCTGGTGATCGTAGTGAGGTCGTATACTACTGAGGAAAACGCTGCTGTCCATTCTCTGGTGAAACTCTAAGCTGCCTTTAACGACACCCACAGGTAGAGATGGGATGGTGGTACCTAGGCAGGTACCACCGGTACCACAGGTACCACGAGACCGCGTACCGGTAAGCGCAGCGTTGGGCGTCCCCCTGCCCGTTGGACCGATGACTTGCGGCGATATGCTGGGAGAGATGGGATGCGGAGGGCGGAGGATCGTTCATTGTGGCGGACTATGGGAGAGGCCTACATCCAGCAGTGGATAGATACAGGCTGATGATGACCTAGGCAGGTACAGGATAAAGATCGGGACTAGACGACGGCCAGTCTTCAGCTCTGATGAAGTCCGAAACGTTCGTTTCCAACCAAGACTACGTAGACCGAGCTTTATGACCTGACGCCGAGTCTTGCTGGAAGGACCAATACTTGATTATTGAACATAGTGTTGTTAAGGGGCTTCACTACCTTCTCAAGAATGGTATCTTGATACACTTGTGCCGATGTTTTGATACCTTTTTCACAAAAGTATGGCTCAGTCACTCCTTCATAGCTAATACCCAACCAAACCATCACTAAAGTCGGATAGTGCCCACGTTGCACTCTGTCGAATAATTGGGAAGCTTCCTTAGAGCTTTGAGCATAAATACGGTCATTTTGTTTGTCAAAATACCAAGCGTATGGAGAGTTTTAAAAATTGCATTTGGCTCCATACCTACTTTGTGTAATGCAATCACAGCGATTCGGTTCTCTTTATCACCCCACTCCATTTTAATATCGCAAAATATTGTTCAATGTATTGGCGCCAAAATGAGAAAACGCAATGAGCAATCATATAAATATTACAGATTCCAAATTCAAATGTAATATTCTGTTTATTTTTAATTTATTACAGTATTATTTACAGTTTTATTTACAGTATTTATGGCCAGACTTAGTATATAATCTGAATCTCGGAAACGGCTCCAACGATTTTCATATAATTTAGTATACAGGGGATTTCAGGGGCGAGAAATCGATCTAGCACAACAAGATGGCGTTATAAAAAAAAAAAACGAGCAAAGCTCGGTCATCATCTAGTCTGTTATTATAGAAGTTAATTCATTTACATTTTTTAACACAGTAGTGGTGTGTGGTTTCTATTTCAATATAAAATGCTAAATTTTCAAAGCTCTGTGTAATTTGTGAAAATATTTAAAATTTAGAAATAGTTATAAATGAGTAAGTATGTAAATATAATGAACATAATCATTAATAGATATTAAAGATCGATTCCAAAATAAGCTTAAAAAAAAATTCTGGTTTTCACAAAAACAAAAAAAATAAGTAGTGAAAAATAATAAATTAAACAGATAAAAACGTTAGCTTCGTCAACAAACGTTTTCGTGAACCACTCAATCTAATTTTGTTAATGAAATGTGTCTATGCGCACAAAACTACCAAAAAAAAGGGAAATCGGTCAACGAGCACTACTGCAACCGCACCGACACTTCTCTCGCAGCAACCTTACGCACAACACCTGTGTACCTGTATATTGTCACGGCCGTTACTTCAAATATAATTTGGAAAGAAAAATAAAACATTCATTTCGTTTGTACACCACTGCTTGCCTCCTCTTCCTCGCCAACAAATGTATTTATATTATTATTTTCTCGTCAAATTCAACGCTACGATAAATAGGTCTTTAATATTATATTAGGGTAAAATAAATAAACGGCGTCGTTTCTAGGCCGTCACTGGAAGGAAACAACTAGAAGTATTAACATAAGCTATTTTCAGACGAAGAAAACGTTTCTTCGCATTAAATTTTAAGGATTTTAGATAAGTCGCTTACGGGCATTGAACGGACACTAGTAGGCGTTGAATTGCGAAAAGCAATACCTTTTTTTTTATTGCTTAGATGGGTGAACGAGCTCACAGCCCACCTGGTATTAAGTGGCTACTGGAGCCCATAGACATCTACAACGTCAATGCGCCACCCACCTTGAGATATAAGCTCTAAGGTCTCAAGTATAGTTACAGCGGCTGCCCCACCCTTCAAATTTACAGCACTGATCGATATGCTCTGTTACCAAAATCAAAGCTTTATAGCGTGATCACATTGCACTTGTGCGTGCACAAAATCAACAGCATTACACATTTCTGAGAATGAAATTTCTGAAATTGACCACGAAAACAACTAAAGATTGTTTGTTAATGCATGAAATAAGCATACAATCGATGCTTTTGGTGACAGACAAGCCCGCCACGTCTATGCATTTGTTTTTTAGCGTCGAGAGATTATTATAACTTCACTAGATGTGTAGGCGAGCTCACGGGTCTTAGCAGAGAACTATTCAGTAGAGAACTAGCCCTACTTAACTAATACTAGCCCTTGCAAGGACAATGCTTCGCTGAATCTATCACCGAACCGAAATCGTAACCCACTGAGATCAGACGAGAAACTCAATGTCTGCTAAGTTGCACGTCAAACTTTTGAACAGTGGCCGGTGCTTGGAGAGCGCAATAGTACCGATTGGGAATAGCAATAACTAATGTTTTGAGCGACGACAACTTTGCTTTTCCCCGTCGCCTGGGTCAGATATGTTATTAGAAGCGACCATGATGAGAAGGTTATCGTGACGATTTTTCGAAGAATGTACATTTGTAAATAACTATATTACAATTAATTTATTATTGTCAAAAACTAGAATTAAAATAACGTAGGTACTGCAACTGAGATTTTTTTTCACTTCTTGTTACTTGTTAGGAATCACTAATCCGTATTTGTTTTCAAAACGGTTCCTATACACGTTGTGTAACTTTATCTTTAAGTGCATTGAGCACGTTCAACGAGTCAACGGCCGACGTAAATGCGGTGCATACTAATACACTTGTAAATGTAGTACAACTGTGTTTATATCGCTTTGCATTAAGCGAAACTACCCGTTTTGTTTGTATTGATATTATTGATAAAAAACAAAAAAAAAATTGTTTCTTTTTTTCACGAACAATGTGAAAGGCTTTTCAGTATACTCTCCGCATGGCAGCATGAACCATAGTAGCAAAATCTCCATGTTGCATGAGCTGAATATTTAGATGGTACTTTCATTTACATGATGGATTTACAGAGGACCAGATGATGATATTTCACAGGTTGAATGAAACAAATACCACACTATAGTCGAACGGACTCTAAGCATGAGCCGATAATCTCAGGGCGAAAATCACGATTCTTAAAAACAGCATTACTAGAACAATCTCCAAAGAACTCGGTCTACTTGGTAAATAAATTCTAGTATAAATACCATTGGCAGCCTTGAGGCAAGAGCTCGACGTCGCCCTAAGCACGTCATTAAGGATCGTCTCGATCCATTAACGGTGCTTTTAGGCACCACAAGCACCGGTCACCGTCGTAGTCGAACACGTCGCTTGCGACGAAAAGCGCGAGGAGTGAATTAACCCATAGACAGAGCCCACTGAGTTTCTCGCCGGATCTTCTCAGTGAGTCGCGTTTCCGATCCGGTGGTAGATTCTGCGAAACACTGCTCGTGCTAGGGCTTGAGTCCCGCGAGCTCACCCACACGTCAATGAGAAGCTGAAATAGTCTCTCAAGGCTATCAGTATAGGTAAAAAAACGAGGCAAGAGGGTTTTGTGTCGAACTACAATTTATTTTTCTAACCTAAACTTCAATCAGGAACGCTAGATTATCGTGCGATAGGAGGTAGGTGGTACCTTCAATCTCTAGTAAGTTTGAATTCAATATCAATATTACAAAATATTTAATTTATTTAGTTCTTAATTCTTAATAGATTTGATATAAGTTTGATGTTATAAAAAAATACTAGCACATTACTAGACCTAATAAAATCGAGCTGAATTACAAATCAACAAACTGTATTCGTTTGTAAATCGTCTATTCTATAACTCCGTGCCAGACGGTATTGAGATAAAGTATGTCGTTTTGTGGAAAACTTGTCCTAAATATAGGTCGTGGATTATTTCTGACGCATCGTGTCGCACACTCCGCCCGTCTCAATACCAAGCAGTCGATTTCACCGTAAAATTAAATCCAAATCATTGATTATCTCTAAACTTGTAATTACTGCTTTGGCTGTCGATATGTAAACTCATTAATGTTTATCGCCTCTAACTTTTCACGCGTTCGTGAAACGTGATTCAAAGTTTAACCGATCGGTATTACTTTCACAATTAACTGTCACAAAAATGAGTGCTGTTTAAGTATTTTAATACCGTAAGATGTCTGTGCTTAGTGTTTTGTTTTTGTTATTATTTTCTACAAGATTGGTTTCCACTGAAGAAAATTTGAGAACAATAGGTACGTAATCATGAAAAATTTTTTTTTTTTGTTTGTTTGACTTGAGTTCTCCAGATTATTACAACATCAAAACTTGTATAGAGACTAGCACAAAAATGTTACTCATTCTATTGTCAACCAATATATTGTTTATAGCTCAAATCTAAAATGATAACAAATATGTACATTTTTTAAACGCTGTTCTGTTATTTTAACCATATTAAAATCTAGTTAAGTAGTTCCATGCCACCTATGATCGAACATTATAGAGAAACGTCAGGTGTGGTCGCGATCCTCAACAGCGAGGGAACGATAAAGAAGAATAAAGTAGTTTAATATTTATTTGTGTAAATATTTCAGGAGGTATATTTTACCAAGATGCTGAAGATATGAAAGTCGCTTTGAAAATTAGTGCCGAAAATTATAATTTCTCTGTTTCGATAAAAGAGGTGTCACAAAGAGGAGAAATACTGGAAATTGAGAGATATGTTTGCGAATTAGCAGAGGTATTACAGTCCGATAATGTTTTGACGTATCCACATTCTAAAGTATTAGATTTACTTCGACTTTAAAATATTCCTTTTGAGTATTAAAATCTATCTATTTATCCATTCTTGACTGACTCGGCGGTGCAGGAGTTAGCGCCCTTGATCATTGCCTCGAGGGTCGTGGGTTCGATTCCCACATCAGGCAAACATTGTGTGATGAATAGGTTTGCTTGATCTTTGTTTGGGTATTTATTATCAATACATACGTATACATATCAACGTACATAAGTATGTTTGTCAGTCCCTGGTACTCATTACACAGGAAATCCTAAATTGGGGCCGGATCAGCGCGCATGATTTGTTCCCAGTTATTTACTACAGCTCTATTGGAAATAATTCTAAAGGTCTTCCATTGATGACCATCGCTTAAGTTTTCAAAAAAGTGTAATAAAACGCACAATCGAAAATTAACTTTACCCCAACTGGCAGAAATACGAAGCAAAGTATTTACATATTAACAAATTTTGTTTTCTAGGAAGGAGTTTTGGGGATCATTGATGGAATCGGTGGACATGCAAGTGAACATATCCAAGCTATAACCGATATGCTGGAGCTGCCGCATGTTTCTATACAGCACATTGATTTATTTGCAAAGAATTGGTCCATAATAAATATCTTTCCCAGTCCTATTGCCTACAATAAAGTGAGCATAGAAGAATAAACATTTAAGTTTTCCAATATTCTTCTTTTAATCTCTTCTATTATAATTCTAATTTCAAATAAGAGTAAAATTGATAACTAGTCAAAATTTCATAATTTATTTAAAACGTTCTTAAAAGGAACAAAAAAGCATGAAATCTCTTTTTCTTTTCTCACATTTTTTTATCTTTGTCATATTCTTAGCTCAATTCAGAATTTCCGATTCAGAATTTCAATTAGGTCGCAAGAAATTAGTTTAAGATCAATTATAAATTATTTCACGTGAACGTATAAAAAGAAAATGAGTTTACATAAACGTAAATCTGCCTCCTAGACACTATATACACTTTTTTTTTATCACGCCACGTTAACTGGTCCCGTGATAAGTTCGTAAAGAACTTGTGTTACAGGTACCAGATAACGGAAATAAATGTAAGATTTTTATTATACACATACATATATTTAATATACATCCATAAGCCTGGAAAAGACATTCATATTTATCATACAAATATCTTCCCTTGGCGGGATTCGTACTATATACACTAGATACATTCAAGATAGCAAAATATTGACATGACATTTTGTGAGCATTTTTTAATATATAAGTACGTTTAAATCGCAATTTTTTGTTGTTTGTTCGCAGTTATTTGCTCGCAATTTTTTGCACTTCCATGTTTTCTCGCGAGCTATTGTTGAACCGTGAACGCTTCCAAAGTTTTGGTCTTATTGATAAAAATTGATAAAAACGATTGGCAGTCATTCCGCCATGTTCTGATTTTCAGGTTTTAAAGAGTTTGGTAGAGACAAAGGACTGGAACAATTTCACAATATTGTACATCAGAGGGCATAGTTTGTTGAGAGCAACAGAGCTGCTGAGAATGGGCAACAGCATTGACAAACGCTCCGTTACTATAAGAGAACTCAACGGGAACGATTACAGGTATTTATTTCACCAATACCATTCATGCTCTGTGTAGACAGACTACTAATGTCGTAGAGAACAGATTAAATAATGCTTAAGTTTAATTAGATTAAGCTGAAGACGACTTGTACTAACGGAAAGTTTCACAGGGAAAGCTCAGTAATGGTCAGGACATTGCTTAGAGATAATTAAGGCAATTGTCAAATTACATTTACAATTAAATAAACTAATAGAGAGTTTATATGGAAACCATATGGTGGTAGGGCCTCTTGTGAGTCCGCACAGGTGTACCACCACCCCGCCTATTTCTGCCATGAAGCAGTAATGCGTTTCGGTTTGAAGGGTGGGGCAGCCGTTGTAACTATTTTGAGACATGAGAACTTATATCTCAAGTTGGGTGGCGCATTTACGTTGTAGATGTCTATGGGCTCCAGTAACCTTAACACCAGGTGGGCTGTGAGCTCATCCACTAACCTAAGCAATAAAAACGAAATAAAAAAAATTGAAAACGCAAAAATTCTGAAAAAAGTACGACAACATTTAGATTGAACTACAAAATTTAACAGCTCTTTCAACTCACGAAAACTGCAGGAAAGAAAATTGATAAAAAAATCTTCACCCCCAAACAAACGTTCGCAACAATACGATTGAACTTTCATATTACTTTTCAGGAACAGAGTTGAAATTTATTTTTACATGAAAAATAAAACTTGGCTTCGGTTTGTTTCTCTAAGCTCTTTGGACATTGATGCCATAATAAAGGTCCCTTTTAACAGAAAAATAATTAATGAATAATCAATCAGTATTAGTATCTACGCACCAATTTTATCACCAATGTAAAGACATAAAAAAGGCATCATGAAATTGGGCAATTAATTCATTAATTTAAAAATAAAGTTTGTAGGCAAAATTGTTTATTTTAATAAAAATTTATAAAAAGATCGGGTACCTTTTCTCAAGTTGTTTAAACGGCTTAAGATTTAGCTAGATTTTGAGCAATTGTTTCCTTTACCATTTGCTTTTCAGTTGAATTACAGAGAAGTTCTTTGTTGTTCAAAAATACGTTATGTAGGTGTCTTTGTATTATTATCAAATGTTACAAATATTTTTTTTCGCAAGTTTCTATACAAAGCGACAGTTTTATGATGTGAAAATAAAACTCGATTTTTCCTTATTGGGTTTTTATATAATAATAGATCAAAATAAACCACAAACTTTTCTTTGAAAAAATACACATTGAATAGAATTTCACGAAAAAAATAATAAACGAATGGCATTAATAATGATAAAGAATAAGTTTTTTTTTATTTTTTTTATTGCTTAGATGTGTGGACGATCTCACAGCCCACCTGGTGTTAAGTGGTTACTGGAGCCCATAGACATCTACAACGTAAATGTGCCACACACCTTGAGATATAGTTCTAAGGTCTCAGTATAGTCACAACGGCTGCCCCACCCTTCAAACCGAAACGCATTACTGCTTCACGGCAGAAATAGGCGGGGCGGTGGTACCTACCCGTGCGGACTCACAAGAGGTCCTACCACCAGTAAAAAGTCATTTTTTATTCTTGGTTTCATTAAACCTTCTATTAACTTTATTTTCTAATTTATATTTTCCAGAGATGTATTAATTGACGCCAAAAAAAATGGCTGTGTGAACTTCCTGGTGGATTGTCCGGCACGTAATTTGGAACAACTTCTGCAACACGCGCAACAAGTTGGTTTAATGGCTGAAGAGCACTCCTATTTATTCGTGTCGCCAGATTTGTTTACATTAGACTTGGAACGATACAGATACAGCGGCGTGAATATTACAGGTAGGTTACTGTTTATGTGATATTGTCATTTGGGTATTTTTGGATTTTTTTTACTGCTTAGATGGGTGGACGAGCTCACAGCGCACCTGGTTATTAAGTGGTTACTGGAGCCCATAGACATCTACAAAGTAAGTGCGCCATCCACCTTGAGGTATAAGTTCTAAGGTCTCAGTATAGTAACAACGGCTGCTCCACCCTTCAAACCGAAACGCATTACTGCTCCACGGCAGAAATAGGCAGGGCGGTAGTACCTACCCGTACGTACTCACAAGAGGTTACGTAAATTACAAATTTGCGGTTTCTTTTTTAATGGAGTTGTTGGCAGACGAGCTTACGGCCCAGCTGATAGTGAGTGGGTATCACCGCTCATGCACGTCAACAATGCCAGAAGCATGGCCGAGTCGCTGCCTATCGTTGAGCACTCTCTACAAGCGTTGAAGAGTACATGTTATAGCACTCGGGAAATACAGTGCAGGGGAGTTCATTCTAGAGTGGGATAGTAGTATATGGCAAAAAGATCTTTAGGTAATTTTTTTTGGCGAACGAAAGGCAGATCAACTCCCACCTCATTTGCTATTAAATTGTTTTCGCAGTGATAAAGAGTCTACTGTTTGAATAGTTAAATCTCTTTTGGCTGTTAATTTCCGTAACTTATTCAAAAAGGCGCTCATTTTAATCCCACGATAAGTTTCAATGAAAGCTCTATAGTGGTTCCAAAATTATGGACACACAATATACGAATGAAAATTAAAGTCGAAAAACATTACCCTCCTGTCGAAGCAGTCGATTGAAACTGTGCTACGGTAAACGATGCCCGTCTTAATTTATTTCCAGGGTTTCGTATAATAGATCCAGCAGCTAACGAGGATCTGTGGAAATTCACAATACAATTCAATACTGAAACAGTACAAAATCTCGAACCGGTACAAATTAAAACCGAAGTACTGCTTATTCATGATGCGGTTGTGGTTTTTAATGAATCCCTGAAGAAAGTGAACGTTACATCGACACAATTGAGCTGTGACAACTACGACTCTTGGAAATATGGATCGACGCTTATCAACTTTATGAGGACAGTACGTTTAGTTTATTATTATAACTATTCAGATCATTATTAATCATGTACTAACATTTTTCCTATTGTGATTTTTTTGTAAATTAAACTAACTCCTTTAGCGTGCTTGGAAATACACTAAGGAGTATATTTTTAGTATGAGACAGCTTTGGGCCCATATGTACGGCATGATTTATTTAATAATAAGATTGTGTATCACGTTTTCTGGCAAAATTTATGTCAGTAGTATATATTTATGAGAAAAATATGTATCAATTAGCATAACTAAAACATGGGCATGTTGTTAATGTGTGAATTAATAACGTTAAAGAACTTTAACATCCTACGCGTGTATATAAATCTGAGTACAAATAAGTTTTTTAATATTCTTTTCACACCATTACAATTGTCGGTAATAGAGGTAAAAAGTTGGTTATCGTGATTTGTAGTTTTCAAATTAAACAATCAAGATATGATTGGTTCTAAAGTATATTTGTGCGATTATTTATAGCTAGGATTTTTTAAATAGCTCATCTATGAGTTATAGTTTTGGGACTTTAAGAATAAGATAAACCGTCGTGTTTGTAATATTGATAATAATGTAGATGGCTTTATTTAAATATTGTGGGACTTGGGATACATTGAAAAGCAGCAATAATAACGATCTATGTTCAAAAGTTGTGGTAGTTCAATACCAATGTAAAATTCAATTTAAATTATCTTTTCAGAATAGAGTGAAAGGTTTGACACGCTCCTTGATATTCGACGGATTCGGACAGAGAAATGAAGTTATTTTCGATCTGCTCGAGTTGACTTCGTCTGGTAATCAAACAGTAAGTTGAAAGCAGATTAGTGAATAGTTAAATCAATTATGTAATAGATTTATGTAATAGATCAGTCAGATAATCAATTATGTAAAGATTTATGAAGGTGGATAAACTGAAAAGACAGGACACATTTGGGTGTACGGCTGGACTTCGATTCCAGTTTTTTATGGGCAGTGTTTACAGGAATTATTAAATCTTTTTTCATCATGCAACCGCCATCGACGTAGACTTCATTATACTATCTGGAGCCAATGAACTCATCCACAATGCGTTTCCAAAGGTTTTTTGCCATGTATCAACCGACTCTGGAATGAACTGCCTTCAACGGCGTTTCCTGAGCGCTATGACATGTCCTTTTTATAACGTGGTATGTGAGGAATCCTGTACCATAGGCTTGTTTCTCCGGCATTGCTGATTTCTTTGAGTTACAGTGACCAGACATCATCATTTGGGTGACTCGTAATCTCATTTTCTTTCTTAAGAAAAAAAAAACAAACTAAATTGTTTTTTTGGGCAATTTAATTCTTTGCTCAACTGGTATCGAGCTGTTACCGAAGTTCATTCACATCACAACGTGAATGCTATCACCTATCTAATGATAAGGTTGAAACATTTACTTTAAATGGGATAACGACTATCGCATCCTTAAAATCCGTGACCGCTTCGCAATAAACAAAAGCTGAACGGTGGTTAACGTAATTACAGAAAACAAATACTACTATTACTACTTACTTAGTACTCACTTACTTACTTTGGTTACCAAACGATGCATTCTCTTGTTTCCAAACATAAATTTTCGGCTAGCTGATTTTTTAATTCAACTACTATTTCACAGATTGGACACTGGATCGATGACAAATTAAAAATAGAGAGACCTTTTATCCCAGATGCACAGATCGGTGAAGAATCTATTCTGAAAAACAAAACGCTACGAGTATTAATTGCACCGGTAACATTCATTAACTTATTAAATCAATGTACCGATTCTCGGTGGTTGTAGCGCCATCAACGCGATGCGACGCGTAGCGTCCCGCGATACTCATTTGGGTTCAAAGAGTTATATCACACCCAAGATTCAGACACAGGTAGTTGAGAGACAACGGATTTAGTCTGTCGACTCCAATGAGTCTCTTTTACCGCCAACCGACGCGGATTTATTGTCGAGCAAAATTCAATCAATGCGAATTTTTATTTTCCATCTACGATATGTCTAACAATATTATACTTAGATATTATTTTAGACTATATACTGACAGGCAAGCTTCTTTATTTACTTATTTATCGCCTACCGGATCCCATACCGAACTACAAAATGATCTCTCTTAATCAATCGCTTCGTAAATCTGGCTGTTTTGTCCTTTGAAACGAATGCCATGACTAGGACCAAAAAAAGCGACGCATTTTTACGAGGCAAAGAGGTTTCTATAAAAAAAATTTACAATGAAAGAACTGAATCAAAGTTTAACCGAAAACGTGAGAAACTTTCACTAACAAATTATTTTTATTAAATTAGCAATTGGCATATTTGTTTATTAAAATAATAATACTAAATTTTTTTATAGACTGCACCATATGGATATGTAAAAAATTGGCATACAGCACTAGAAGGTAATGACCGGTATGAGGGATTTGCCGTGGATCTCATTCAAAAACTATCAGATGCGCTCGGCTTTAATTATGAGTTCATTTTAGAAGAAAATTACGGTAGAAAGGACCCTGTAACACACAAATGGGGTGGTATGATATATCAATTAATAACTGAAGTAAGTTATGTTTTAAAATATGAATGTCACTTCTTTTTTATTTCTTATTGGTGGACGAGCTCACGGCCCACCTGGTGTTAAGTGGTTACCAGAGCCCATAGACATCTACAACGTAAATGCCGCCACACACCATGAGATATGAGTTCTAAGGTCTCAGTATAGTTACAACGGCTGCCCCACCCTTCAAACCGAAACGCATTATTGCTTCACGGCAGAAATAGGCGGGGTGGTGATACCTACCCGTGCGGACTCACAAGAGGTCCTAGTACTAGAGTTGTTTTAGCATACTTTGGGCCTTTTAAAATTATTTATACCAGCTTTTTGCTGGGAGGAATGTCTAAAAGAACACCTATTTCTTTTACTTAATAATTAAATTGTCCTTTAAGTTCATATTTTTGTAAATTCTTTACATACAATAAAGTGTATATAATTTTATTTCATTTATTACTAATTTTACCAGACATAACTTAACTATATTTGTTAGGCTTATTAATTCGTGTGACAATTTGAATTTTATTTGTAAGCCTCAATGACTTAATGAATTAATATTTTGAGTGCTCGAATTATTTTGCGGTCTGTAACTACTAGATTCACTATAAAACAGTTATTATTTTATGAGTATATTATATCCTGTATATTATTATATAGCCTCAATAGTATCTTCATGTTCATCTATTGACACGATTAATAATAATTGTACATTCATAATAATATCAACATACTGTGCACGGGTCAGAGTGTAATTTCCATAAACTTTTTTGGGCGCACAGTTTACAGTGCACATAATTATGCACACAAATACACTACACTATTACAAATAATAAAAACGTTTATTTCGACTATTACTGCTGATGTAGATCGCATAGGCCCATCCAACAGGTGAGATGCATAAAAAATGTCATACATTTGAGTTTCAATTTTCGTATTTTTTAGAAAGCTGACCTGGCCATATGTGATCTGTCTATAACAGCTGAAAGACAGTCTGTTATCGATTTTTCACAACCTTTTATGACTCTTGGCATCGGTATTTTATACAAGCGACCGAGTAAAGAGCCCCCTGAGATGTTCTCGTTCATGGCCGTCTTTTCTAAGGAGGTAAACAATTTATGATTTGAATTAATAATTTAATAAAAATTGCGAGTAAGGAATTTGTTATTAAGTAATGCTGAGCTTGGCGTTGGCAAATGGCGTTTGATTTTTTATTATATTAACTCAACCATTAAAATGATAACTATTCACAGGTCTGGTATTATATGATGTTAATTCAAATGGGCTTAGGAGTAATCATGATATTCGTCGGCCGTATATCCCATAAGGAGTGGCAGAATCCAGTACCTTGTATCGAACAACCAGAGGAATTGAGCAATCAATTTAGTTTCGCCAACGCTTTGTGGCTCATCATCGGTTCTGTAATGCAACAAGGATCCGAAATAGCGCCCATGTACGTAAAATTATCTTTTTCCGTTGTTAAAATTATCTGTGACTGACCCAAGACGTCAGGTGGACTAACGTCAAACAATGCTATATCAGTGCTATATGACAATTTACAATTATCCCTATTATCTACTTAGAAATGAAGTCAAAGTTAAAAGATAGAACATAAAATCCTAAAAATAAAAAAGAAATAGAATCTTAAAATGTATTAAGTATTTGAATTAAGTATTCAGACAGAAATTGTAAGAAGTGTAAAAATACTACGCTAAACAAGTTTTAAGCTTCTCATTTCTAACGGAGTTGATAGTTTTGTGTAAAATTTTATTGCATTGTAATTTATTTGTTTTTTTTTTCGTTGTCATCGTTTTTCAGAGCATTAGCACCTAGAATGATTACTAGTGTGTGGTGGTTCTTCACAATGGTGATGGTGGCTTCTTACGTGGGTATTCTTGTTGCTTTCCTCACAGTTCAGAAAGGTTCGATGCCATTTCAATCACTCGAGAGCCTTTATGAACACAAAAGTATTTCTTATGGAGCTAAAGAAAATGGATCCACTCATTCTTTTTTTATGGTACGTGTAAAATTATATGGACAGTTTCAGTTTTGTAAGCTCTACGTATCTATGCTAGTATAATATATGCAAATTCGATCTGAATCCGATATGCAGTGAATTAACATATGTAATTGTTTTTTTGTGTAAATGGGTGGATCTTTTACCATCTACCCATCTACCCAAAGGCTTACTACAGAACCCAAAATCCCATAACTTGAAAGCTACTGTCCACCTTCAAACATGTATTGGATCTTGTGTTGTATAAAAACTGCAGTCCTACCGTGCAGTGTTTTTGTTGGTATTCCTTATAAAATAACCGTAATCATTAAGCATTTCTGAATCTTTTTAAGGATTCGCCGAAGACACTGCATAAAAAAATGTACGCAAGAATGAAAGAGCAAGGATGGCTTGTTCCACAAAATGATATTGGCGTTGCGAAGTAAGTATCACCAACAAACTAAGCCACAGACATAATCCATTGAGTTTCTCGCCGGATCTTCTCAGTGGGTCGCAATTCCAATCGGGTGGTAAATTCTGCGAAGTGCCGCTCTAGCTAAAGTCCGTGTTAACAACTCTTAGGTTTATCCCGTGAGCTCACCTACCAGCCAATTTGGAATAGCCCCTTAGACTACAAGCGAATAGATAGGAAAAAGAACAATTTCTAGTCAATGTTATTGATCGAGAAGTAAGGATTCCTGTGTGTACACGATCTTACGCCTCCACTTATTAGGTTACTGATACTCGTATACTGTAATTGATTGCCTTCGTTCCACTTGAGATGTACATTAAAGCCTCAACTTTGTTAACATAGTGGCTATAGTACACTTTGAATCGGAAAATGCACAATTTTAAGGTACTAATAACATTAGTTGATTTATCTGCTACTGTTATGTTTATTTATGCATTGTAATTTGAAGGAAGGGACATCCGTTAACTATATTTTTTTTCTTACCTATTCACTGGTAGCCTAAGGGGCTATTCCCGTTACGCACAAATTGGTGGGTGGGCTCACGGGCTCAACTTAAGAAAATTTACTAACACTAGCAAGAGCAGTGCTTCGCAAAATATACCACTGAATCGGAATCGCGACCCACTGAGAAGATCCGGTGAAAAACTCAGTCAGGGGTTTCGACGAGAATATTGACCGGTGTTTGGACGATGCCTTGTGTTGACCTGTCGCCTGGGTCGGATATGAATAGTATTATTATGAATTTGAAACTTACATCTCATGTCTCAAGGTTGGTGCAACCATTCAAGTTGTGATGTATATGGTCAACATAATCACGTAACACCATGTACTCCGTGAGCTCGTTCATTTGCTTCGATGCTTTAATAAAAAAATAAAAAAATAAACTCTTGAACATCAGATACATCAGAAACTTGATCAGGCTGCTTCACCATTACCGATTTTAAAGAATTACATGCCAGTACTAGTAAAACGCAGGGAGTTACGTCCCGAGTTTGGTAGTACAGGAGAGAAATTATAATTAATCCGGTAGGAATGAACTCTGTTTTGACGGGAATTTGTTCAAATCATCAAACCGTTCTCTGTTGAATATTGTTCTTAGAAATTTGTGACTCGAGTTCTAACCATCGCTTTGGCTATTTCTGATGAGAAATAATCATTATTTCAGTCTGACGGATCTTTGTTTTATTTCAACTAATATCTTAATGTAAAAGAGAGAACAAGGACTAAAGCGAATAACATAATATTGTTTAATTTCACAGGGCTGAAACGGAACCCTACGCATTCTTTATGGAATCAACATCCATAGAATATACAACGGAAAGACATTGCGATCTAATGCAAGTAGGTGATTTGCTTGACTCCAAAACATATGGCATCGGAATGAAAAAGAGTAAGCTTATAAAATTATATTGAATGAAATTAACTTTATGTAAAATAACTGAATTAATTATAACATATTACAGAGTCACCGTACAAAAGATATATAGATGATGCTTTGTTAATATTAAAAGAAAAAGGTGAGATACAAAAATTGAAAGACATTTGGTGGAAAGAGAAAAGAGGCGGCGGTAATTGTGGAGTAAGTAATTAAATTTAAAAGTATTAACCTATTCGGTGATATACTATTACGAAATACCATTATAAACTATTCCAAGTATGTACTAGGTACGTATATGTGTAGCCGTAGATAGTAGTGCCTAGATGCAGTAAAATTTTCTTATCTGTTCTTTCTTTTACAGTCGCCACAATCTATTAAATTATACATATACTAGCGACCCGCCCTCGCTTCATTTCGGAATCTATAATTTATTATTGGTTTCTCCACTATTTAATGGATGTTATTATATATATAAACATTCCTCTTCAATCACTCTATCTATAAAAAATAACCGCATCAAAATCCGTTGCGTAGCTTTAAAGATTTAAGCATACATAGGGATATAGGGACAGAGAAAGCGACTTTGTTTTATACTATGTAGTGATTAACTTCTAATATTATCATCATCTCTACATAGGAATTGGTAGACTTGGTAAGCGAAATAGGAGTAAAAGGCTGAAGGTAACAAGTAAGACTGATGAATGACCCGGTCCTTCTAATAATTATTATTATAATCGGAGCGACACTGAGCGATACGGTACAAGCGAGCGATAGTTACGATAGTCATGATACGAATATTGTTATAACATTTTCGTGATACCCAGTCTAAAACTTGGATCTTATGTCATTATAATAATTGGTTTTATGTCTAAAGAGTTACACCATTGGCGCAATTGATAAATGCTTCGAATAACGCGATTCGATGCGTAGGCAGTAGGGCTATTTATTTTAGTTTCACAGTACAGATGGGAAGACATAATTTGAATAAAAAAATACAAAATCCGTGATTTATCTGGTGTACTCCAAAAACCTTGTCCTCTCCAATGGTAGGGCTCCTCAATGGTTTCTCAGCGGCGAATGGAAGGGGAAAATTTCACTGTATTCGATATATTTAAAGAATGTAATTTTTTATAGTGTTCTAAGAATGAATGTTTTATATATTTAAAGAAAGCTCTCATATAATGCAATAGAGTTGGTAAGAACTGGGTCCAATTTATATATTAATGTTTTACGTGTTACGCGTAGAGAAGCGGGAATGTGAATGGGGCGTGCGTAGTTTCTAAATTCAAAATTAATCTTTAAGGTGATCCATTTTTTAAATTCCTACGCCTTCAAGAAGGTCCCATTGGAGCGTGTAAACACTAAATCCAAAACTTTGCTGAAAATAAGAAGGCATGCAATCATTTTATTATAATAATACACTACTTTATAGTCAAATTCAAATTGTTTATTAGGGTCGGGGTCGATAGGCTCAGGCAATCACTGTTCTCCATGTCTGCTGTGTATTCAATTTAAAAGACCAGAGTTGCATTCCTCAGCAAGGATGCAAAGATTTTTATTATTTTATCTTGTTTCTGGAATTATCTCATTATTTTAGGTGTAATGTTGAGAGTATAAATCTCATTTTCTACATATTATATTTTTAAAGAATATGAGGATTTAGGTTGGTTGACTGAAACTCGCCATTCGCCCCAATGATGAATTCTATCTGCATAGTTAAGGATAGTCATGATTCTGCATGTTTTTTTTGTTTCTCTCAGCAAAACAGTGACGAGGAAGAACCACAATTAGAAATGAAGAACATGGTCGGGGCATTCGTCGTGTTAGGCGTGGGAAGTGTATTCGGGCTCTTCATATCAATACTGGATATGTTGTGGGGAGTCTTCAAACGATCTGTTAAATATAGAGTGAGTTGTATTTCATTCATGATGTACTGGAACTGTTCTTAGCTATCTGAAAGAGAAGTGAAGAGCAGCAAAGTGTTGTTCTTCTCCTCGTAAAATAATAAAATTAAATCAATGGGTCTCTAAGGCTCCCCGCGCACTACACAGTCAGGCTGCGTCAGCCAGACGATATGTTAGTTATCTCTTGTATTTAAAAAAACCGGCCTGGGTATGTATGAACATCTTTAAAATAGTTATAAAATAAGCCTTTTGAGTACCGTTCTAGAAAAAGAGGATGAATCAAGTGTCTTTTCTTTACGTTTTTTTACGAGATAAAGTGCAAATCGCTTGACGAAAGGATCATAAATGGGCGTCGATTGGCTGCTATAACTGGCTGCTCAAATATTTCGGTTGCCGCAGCCAGGCTGCCCAGTGCGCGGGGAGCCTAAAATGTTTTGCATTTGACACAATTTAGTTCGGCTTCGGTTTGGTATGATTACTAATGTTTATCCAGTAATAGAAATTTAACCAAAATCATTAACGCTTCAAGTGTTGGATTCCTTTTCATCTGTTGTGTCATTAACGACAACTTTTCCTTGTTGGGGATTTTTTTTATTGCAACCAAGCTCGACCTTTGCTACTAAACAAAAGAATATGGTTGACTAACAAAGAAGGAAATATTATTGAACTTATTGAGCTGATTGTGTTTGCCTATTTTGCTATAGTAATAAACAAACAGTATCTTTTGCATTTAACTCAGCGTATTCGATTTAAGGGAACGATCAATTTGCACACTGTATGAAAGCAAAATCAAAACCATACCTATTACGTTTTGCTAACGAAAACAATTTGATTTTAATTATTTTCTTGCAGACCACTTTCAAATTCGAGTTGATCGAAGAGCTGAAATTCGTGATCAAGTTCAGTGGAAGCGTGAAACCGGTGAATCGAGTTCAGAAGCAGGAAGGCAGCTTGGAGAATCTAGCCGAAGTGGCTGAAGGGAAAGATGAAATACGATCGTTACGGTCGATACGATCCGGGAGATCTACCGACACGCGTCGAACTCATCATTCGCATAGTTCACGACATTCGTCAAGAAGCCTGAGTGTAGCGTTCGCTAAGCGACGCGAATACAGTTAGACTCTTCGATTATAATCGTTTAACTAATAAGAGTTATAGTACATTTTAATCGAGTTATTCCCTTTTTTTCCTACCCAACACTAGTACATAATGACCTAGTAATGTATTAAACATTGTCGTATGAGAAATAAAACATACCTTCTTTTTTAATGTTATGTAGATGTTAAATAATATATACGGCAAAACGCCGTTTTACGTTTTTGTATTTATTTATTTATTTATTATATTCCTCATTTCATTTGAGATATGAAACCGACATGAAAACAGGTAATATTCTCAACAAAAAAAATAAGTCGGCACATTTCGTTCAAAGTTTGAAAATTCTACCACCTAGTTCAGCAATTGAAACTTTGTAAAATATACAGAAGTTTTTCGGATTTTGTGGTGGGGAAATTATAATATCATAGAATAAGCAAATAAAAGAGTCGCATCAAATTACTGCTTCGTCTGCTTCAACGACTTCGTTTGATAACAGGCTGGAGGAATACAATTTGCCTAATTCTGTCATTATCCCTAAAGAGCAGTTTTATTAAATTTATTTTATAATTTCCAAAAACTTATATAACGCTTTCTAATCACATTTAACAAAATTAGTAAAAAACATTATAATCCACAAGATGGCCCGAATAAAAAAATAACAGTAGAATCATAAAATGGTAACTCCACTGCACGTCCACTTGAAATTCACCCGATATAAATTCAAATCGTAAATTTTAGTAATACGAACATGAAATATGTCTTGGGAACTAGATTTATAAGTTGACTTGAAACATTAGACCATTAGTCGTAGCGTCCGAGGCGAAATGGACACCGACCTTTAGACCACAATCGTTCACCGACTTACATTAGCTTAACAAATTGTCAGAGCAAAAAAACTTATAACTTTTACACTGTGGGGTACACGGCGGGATATCGTTTTCAACCTTTTTCTTGTTATCTGTTAGTTTTATTATTTAATTAATCTATAAATCTATACATACAAATTCTGCAGTGGAAGGATCTGGGTACCCACCACTAAGTATTTACCCAAGAAAACTCCCTCAATGAACAGTACGATTTACAGAGCTAGTTTGTTGAGCGATCCGGCTAACCCCCGGCGCCGCTCGGTAACCGGGCTGGACGGTGTTAAATTAGCTACCGAAGCCGCTTCTGGGGCGGGACACCAGGCTCTAGACAGTGNTGGAATTCTTCGGACATATTGCTCGTAAAGAGGGTCACAATCTGGAACAGCTGATGGTGACAGGAAAGGTGGATGGCAAACGTCCCAGAGGACGCAGTCCCACGAGATGGTCGGACCAAGTACGATCTTCTCTGAGCATCAATTTCCATAATGCCCTTCATGAAGCAAAAGATCGCGGCAGATGGAGGGAAGTCGTATGGGAGAAACTGATGCAGCGGGGGAGTCTCGACCCTCAGTAATGAGGAAAACGACGCGAGGAGGAGGAGGATACATACAAATAAAATTGGAGTGTCTGCTTGTAATATTGAAATAACCGCTTTTTACTACATGCATATGAATATATATACGGTACATACACCAAAATAACATTTTTGTCTATCTGTCTGTCTGTTTGTTCCGGCTAATCTCTGGAACGGTTGGACCGATTTTGACGGGACTTTTGATGATATAAGGAGTAGCTCAGGCTACTTATTTTATATTTCTGTTTAGTAATGTATTTGATTTTTTGATAAAATTTTAATATTAAATAATTTTAGAGACAGCGTGACGATGGATTTTAATTCACAAAACTGCAGAATCTTGTGTTGCCCTATATAATAAATAGACTATGATCGGAATGTCAGACGATTGACTCGCAACGATTCTTTCTAAATAATTTGTTCCTTGTGAGAATTACAAATGTGGCAACTACAAAGAGATTCTCAAAATACTTTTATTACTATTTACGTCACTTGACGGATGTTTCTTTGTATACAGTAACAATAAAAGCACGGGTGTAAATCGATACGTTTGCAAAATAAAAATTATACTTAATAGGTACCAATTTTTTTTTTTCCCTACCTATGCTGATAGCCTTGAGAGGCTATTTCAGCTTGCCCTAGAGTGTGTAGGTGAGCTCACGGGGCTCAAACCGGAGAGTTGCTAACACTGACCCTAGCAAGAGCAGTGCTTCGCAGAATCTACCACCGGATCGGAAACGCGACCCACTGAGAAGATCCGGCGAGAAACTCAGTGGGCTGTGTCTGTGGGTTATGGACCAATACTTATTTTTTGGAAAGATATGTATGCCATACAAGAAATCGTTTTGTTCTCAGTCAATCTTTAGTTTAACTATGACCCACAAGACTTCTGCTTGGGTTCTTCAATCAGGCGGCCTTCGTTACCGCACCCTCGTCAAGTGAGACATATGAGAACCGACAGCCCTATATTTCTCAGACCACGTACAAATTAATCGTTTGACACGCGTTATTGACTCCCTTAATCTGGTTTCTGTATAATTAATTATACGTTGGATATTTCCAGGCAATGCCAAAGATTTTTATAAAATTTTTTATAAAAAATCTTAAATATAAAAAAAAATATATCGAAAGATGAAATACTATTTGATTTAAGTAACATTTCGCTTAATACGCGACTTTGATTTTTGTAATTAAGGTCCGTTTTATTTGGTATTAGCATCAACAGTTCGATGTTTTTAATTGAACTTTAATTTAGTTTATCTCATTGAAATGGCTGAAGAAACGGCTCTCCTGTAAAGTTGCAAAAATGTCGGTTGAACCATGCCTTTCACTCCTCGATATATTTAATGTAATCTTTACCACAAGATACAAGGACAAGGTACAAGATACGACAGACCACCATTATTTGGAAAAAAAAAACATCCGCTATAATGCAATAATTCCTCGTAAGATAATTAATACACAATCATTGATACACACAACGGCCGTCTGGTGTAGTGGTAAGTGACATGGTCACTACACAAGGGGGTCGCGGGTTCGAATCCCGCCAAGGGAAGATATTTGTATGATAAATATAAATGTCTTTTCCAGGGTTATGGATGGATATTAAAATGTATGTATGTGTATAATAAAAATCTTACATTTATATCCGTTATCTGGTACCTGTAACACAAGTTCTTTACGAACTTATCACGGGACCAGTTAACGTGGCGTGAATGTTAGTAAATATTTATTTATTTATATTTATTTATTTATTGAACATGCTACATTATATTATATACCACTTCTAATACTATATTTTCTCATTTTAGCCATTTGAACTGCATTGCTAGTTCTCCTACTATGTATTGTGTGGTGTGAATGCGTGGACCTTTCAGATCTCGGTGTTGGTGCCGGATCCAATTTATTTCCATCATCCAAAGATTCCAATTCACAATTCTTATCTTCCTCGTCGTTTTTGGTGCTTCGTGATCCACTACCTGACAATTCACGGTGACGTACCGGCTTCGTGTCTCCACTAAAACTCAGAATAAATCTCAACTCCGCTTTCAACTCATCTAGGAACGGCAACTGAAATGCAATTCGAATTTTAGATGCTGTAAATTTAATTGTATCAATCCAATGGGAAAATGTACTCATAACATCAAAAATTTAAAAATCAAACCCGCAAAATTTATGTGCTTAGGATATTATAAGGCTATGCCATCCAGCTTATTAAGGAGGCGAAGCGCTTGTGTAGAACAGTTCTAGAAGGGTGAAGTATCTTTTATGCAATACAATTGAGTATTCGACCTTATTTGTCAAGGTAGTTGGTTGCATTCAGACACATTCATTCATCTATGGCAGTATATAATATAATATTTTATTAAACGAATCCAGAAAGGTAACCTCCAGGTACTAATTCGTTTAGATTTTGTGTTATAACTTTGTGTTTTCTTCCGCCCTGGTTTTACCAGACTATTTCAACAGATCTATTGTACTTTTCAAGGTTGTTTGAACTTGTTTGAAAAAAAAATGGTAAGTGGCTTTCGAGTTGTGCTGATACAAGTAAGTTTTAGGTCGTTTAAAAAAGTACATTCGAACATAATGATTCATTTTTTATAGAGTAGAATATAATAAATAACAATTTCTAAGAGTAAGATAAATACACAATAATAGATAAAAGGTATAAGGTGGCTTACTTTATGTCTCCGACAAATCATCCAAACATCCAATAACATCTCGAAAAATGCACATACAGCCGCCATTGCTGAGCCAACCACTAGAACTATGAAAACACCACCGACGTTTGCTAACACCAACGGTTGGGCTTCACCGCCAGCGGTATCGTCATCCTGTAATTAAAGTTTCTATTGTAACAACCAATGTATTTTTCTTTTAATTTGTATTTAATCATGACTTATACAAAATTAACAAAACACCTCACAAGCACCACCGCCTCTTTTTTCTTTCCACCACTTATCTTTTAATTTAGTCAAAGTACCATCTTCCTGTAGCTGTAATATAGATTCACTCATCGGTTGTCGGTAAGGTGAGTCTGAAAATAAGAGTAGTTTACAAAGTGTATTTTTAGTTGATTTTATAAACAAAGGTAGTTTCTGTATTACTTTTTTTCATGGCAATGCCGTATCCTTTGTTATCCAGTAGGCCGCCGACTTGAGCAACGTCGCAATTCCTTTCAACCATATACTCAATTGATGTGGACTCCATGAGAAAAGCGTAATTTTCATTTTCGGATTTTACTCTGAAATGGTACGGTAGTTTATTTCAAACGTAAATCGTAAAATTAATTGTAGATCCCTTTTTCATTGTAAATACCTTATTTACCTTTCAAGTCCTTGGTCATTCGTTGCAGTTTGATATTCAGGATGTTCGTCCATGTAATGGTACATTTTCTGATACAATAAATTGTCGGATTCCTAAAGACAGGCATATGTTATATTGAGAGGCTTAATAATGAAACTATTCGGATTAAGAATAATCAATATACCATGAAAAAGCTAAATGTTGCTCCATTCTTTTTTGCTCCATACGTTATACCGTAGGGATTGTTGGCTAAATCTTGCACGCTTTTTATAGCATAAAACTTTGATTCTATAGTTAGGAAAGCGGCAAGGTTGGCTGTATAGGACGACACCATAATCAAAGTGAAGAACCACCACATACTACCGGCCATTCGAGTTGAAACGGCTCTAAAAAAATGTAAAAACATTTTATTATTTTCGCAATGTCACTCTTTGTCAGGGTATTATCTTTATATATATAAGTATATAAGTATATAATTCTACTGTACGTGTGTATGTCACTGAACTCCTCCTAAACTGCTGAACCGATTTGAATGAATTTTTTGGTATGCATTTGGATGGCGCCCTGGATGGATTAGATTCACAAATCAGCCCGAAAGATGGCGTTGCAGTCGTTATCTAGGTTATTTATCTATTATGCAACTAAGCGGCTGGATCGACTGGAACGAATTTTTGTGTATGCATTCATTCATTTATTTCATTCATTTTGTGTATGCAGGACGTCTTTTTTTTTTTTTTATTGCTTAGATGGGTGGACGAGCTCACAGCCCACCTGGTCTTAAGTGGTTACTGGAGCCCACAGACATCCACAACGTAAATGCGCCACCCACCTTGAGATACAAGTTCTAAGGTCTCAAGTATAGTTACGACGGCTGCCCCACCCTTCAAACCGAAACGCATTACTGCTTCACGGCAGAAATAGGCAGGGTGGTGGTACCCACCCGCGCGGACTCACAAGAGGTCCTACCACCAGTAATTACGCAAATTATAATTTTGCGGGTTTCATTTTTATTACACGANACGGCTGCCCCACCCTTCAAACCGAAACGCATTACTGCTTCACGGCAGAAATAGGCAGGGTGGTGGTACCCACCCGCGCGGACTCACAAGAGGTCCTACCACCAGTAATTACGCAAATTATAATTTTGCGGGTTTCATTTTTATTACACGATGTTATTCCTTCACCGTGGAAGTCAATCGTGAACATTTGTTGAGTACGTATTTCATCTGAAAAATTGGTACCTGCCTGCGGGATTCGAACACCGTTGCATCGCTTCAACACGAATGCACCGGATGTCTTATCCGTTAGGCCACGACGACTACAGTCTGTCGGGTCCGCTAGTCTATATAAATAAACGTAGTAACTATGTACATATATCAGTCGCTGGTGCTTAAAACACAGGGAATCCCATTTTGGGGGCAGATAACCATGGGTGATTTGTTCCTAATTATGATTATTATTCTTATTATAAGTTATATACAATCATTTCAAATTCTTACATTGGAGCTATCTCAGATCCTTGTGTGAGAACACTTCCTAGAGTAAACCAAAAGGAATTGGCTAATGTGAATTGATTGTCCAAGGTCTCAGGTTCTTCGATACACGGGTACGGATTCTGCCACTCTTCGGGGGCCATTCGTCCCAATGCGAATAACAGAACTGATACTCCAATATAAGCTCCCGCTAGCCAGCTCCAAACCTTCAATTAATATATCGCAAAAGCAACAATTGTTGAATAATACTTAAGACATTAAAATACCAAATCTTCTTATAGCGTTATTTATACGTACTCCTGGTGATAGCGGCGAAATAAATGAGAACAAATCTGGTGGTTCTTTGGTGGGTTTTTTGTATAATATTGTTATTCCTAACGTCATAAACGGACTTGTAAAGTCGACTGCTTTCTGTCGTGTTGAAGTTATCGTTAAATCAGTTATGCCGAAGTCTACAATCTGCAAGCATTAAGAATTAAAAACAAAAAAATAGTTTGAATTAGATCAGAATTTAATTTTACTAGTCACTATACCGAAAAATACCACCGGCATCGGCTAGTACGAGTATTTCCATAGTAATATAAACGAAAGTAATTACACCGTCCATTATTTTCTTCATCATTCCATTCCACTGTTTCGTGGTTGTATCGAAAGATCCATAAACACCGTCAGTTTGTAGCTCGAAGGTATAATTGAATTCGTTCATTTTGGCTAGTTCCTCTATTAATTCGATACCAAATCCTTCGTATCGTTCGTTCCCTTCGAGTCTTTTTGATGATTCCTTGAGCATTCCATAGGGCGCACTCTGAAAATATATTTTGCTTTAATTTTTTTACTAATAATTATAATTGATTGTAAGAAAACAGTTTGAACAACCCTACTAACCAAAGCAGTTAAAATAATGAAATGCTTTCCTTTCATCGTCTCAGAACTTTCTGGTTCAGCTGGAGCTATAAAATTTCTGTCCTGTATCAAACCATCTTCAATATTCCACGATCCAACCTTCAATGTAAGTAATCAAAAGAAATAATTTTCAACAACTTCTCTACTTACAATCCAAGTTTAAAATATGTACCTACGTATTTTGAAATTTTTTACCTTTTCTAAGCCGTGAGGCATAATTTCTAATACATCAACTTCAAAATATGAACGAAAACCTTCGTCATCGAATTTTATTATTCCCGTCATTCCATCAATTTCCATCTGCCGGAAAACAACATCAGCTCAAAATATCATAAAATTGTGATTGGTTAAATTAACTTAGACTAAAATTAAAATAAAAACAGGTAGCCCGGCTATGTTCCATTATGATTCTTGAACTATGAAATATTCCAATTTATTAAACCTACACGTGCACCACTGATAGTGCGTTAATGATACTTTGAGAATAGCTCTCCCTGTTCTGTCAAGGACAGCTGCATTAATTTTCAGTATAATCCGGTGAATATTTCATTCCGGGACGGCTAGCGTGGTATGAAGGTGCGATGCGTGGAGAGAAGATGCATGTAACTAGGAGATGTATGGAAATGGTAGTGCAAGGTAGAGGGGGAAGAGGTCGACCGAAGAAGACATGGATGGAGTGTGTGAATGACGATGAGAGAGAGGAGTGAGTGTTGAGATAACGGCTGATGAGAAGACAATGGAAGAGAAAAATTAGCTGTGTCGACCCCACTTAGTAGGATAAGGTGGAGAAAAGAAGATAATCCGGTGAATACTTTAGAAATACATAGACTACACGGGAACATTATTTTTATTTACATATAAAGGACATACAAATGTGATACAAAATCCGCAACTTACAGTTCGTATATAATTAATTATGCTAGAACCAAACTCCCAGCCGTCGTCTTGATCACATGTTATATTTGCACCTTCTTCGAGTCCTAGTGCGTTTAATGCTGACCCATAAATAGTAACGGCATCATACATTAAAGCCAAGTCAAAAGTCAAACCATTTTCTGTAACAGCTTTTTCTAACTGGCCTTCGGATAATTCGACTACTTTCTCGTTTATATCTGAAATGAACTTCTGAATGGAATCTAGATTAGGATCAAAGAAGCGTATACCTGAAACATTTTTTTATTATAATATAATTTCTTTTAAAATTATAGTAAATAATTTAGGTTCAGAATGTTTCTGTAGATTACACTATGAATTTCGGACAAACCTGTTATATTCGAACCTCCATGCTTAAATGGATCGACATCGATTGTTTGGAAATCGGGATTCATTATGAGATAGCTGTGTTGATCAGACATTATGCCGACTTGCTGTGCTTGTTCTAAAAACGTTGATAAATTTTCGAGAGTGCAATCTAAAACGAAATTAACCGATCCAGATTTTTTTATTGCTTTCAGCTGAGACCTGTAATGCAGAAAGAGACAAGGGCCAATTTTTTGTTTGTTTTATTTTCGAAGTTTTAGACAAAAACAAACCTGAAATCGTCTCCATCGGGTAATTGAACGACGTTCATCAAAATCTTCTGTCTTTTGTTTAAGTCCTGCATAGTGAAAATATTTTCCAAAAATGGTAAAAGTTCGCTGCCCTCGTAAACTATAGTAAATTCTTTCCAATCCTTCATTTCTATCAGATCTGTGAAAAGCTTTGGGAGAGATTAAAGAAAAAGTATAAGTTCAGGCCATCGTCTCGAAGATAAGCGTCTTGAAGATAAACAACGAATACCTGAAAAGTTTTAATACCTGTGAATAGCTGATGTGATGTGGATACAGATTGACTGCTGACCAATTACGGTTCTGTGTCTCCATTGCTTGGTTTATAACTTGAGGTATTTCTAGATTATCTGTGATCGATTGAACATGGAGGATCGAGTCTTTTTTCGTCGGCCCAAATATTCCATAAACATTCTTCTATAATTACAATCAAGATATTTTAAACAATACTAGTAATTTATTTTATACATTCTGATACATGCATTACATACCAAACTCATATTGATTGATGTCTCTAATTTTTTTTTTATGATTTAAAGATTACTGGTAGCTCGGAGGCCTTTCCAGTTTCACCAGGCAGGTAGGCGAGCAAAGGCTCAGCCAGGAGGGGTGGGATTTGCTAAAAATAGCCCGAGTACGTCCGAAGGAGACCTAACAACTCAAGAGCAATTGCTTCTGAGAAGATCCGGCGAGAAACTCAGCGGGCTGATGCATGGGTTACGTTGCACGACCTCTTTGTAGAGTTCGACGAGTACCGTTACCGAGGTTCCTAGCCTACTCCTAGCGTTAGAGCTGAAGACGTCTAATGCAAAGGTTATTGGATCTGATGGATCCGTAAGGGCGTGTCTAGGGCGTCGGCGGTGACTGGCTCCTGCATGATCAGGATTCGGGGAGTAGTCAGCGGCGGCAACGATAAGGCGATTATCATGACGCATAGCCTTATCGAAGTACCGTTCCGACGCTAACTGCATATATTTCCGGATTGATTCGAGGCCCAGGTCGTCACACGGAACCCCGACGGCTAACTTACAAAAGCGGGATTATATGGATTGGCGGGTGCCTATGTATGTGCGGGCCGCGTGAGGGAACACCACATTCGCGTAAGTCATGCGGACCTTATGCGAGCTTTGTAAAGTGTCACCTTGTTCCGAAGGGACATTTTACTCCGCTTACATATCATGGGATGTCTCTAATATTAAGCCTTTACCTATTAAATTATCTGTTAGCATACAGAAAGTTATAACAATTTTTTGTAAAAAAAATCATTCTGTCGATCAAAATACGCATCCATAGTGTCGAGGCATACTGCCAACAATGCCCACAAACCACTGCAAAGACATTTTTTACTGCCTCTCGGGTATTGAATTTCTTCCCAGTCAAAAAATTGTCTAGGCTTTGGAATAAGTAGAAGTCTGTCGACGTAAGGTGCGTTGAGTACTGTGGATGACGCAAAATTTCTAACTCTAGCTCTTCTAGATTAGAGACAGTCCATTGTGCCGTATGAAGTTGAGTATTATAGCAGCGGGGATGTAAGATTAAACAAGACTAGCCGGAGATTCGCAAGCTTCTCCATCGTTGTATTCAGTTTCTTACAGTACATAGCCGCAATACAACTGGTGCCATTTCGTAAGAAGCTGTTATGAATTATACCGGTGCTACCACCAAATAGTGACCTAATATTTGAAGTCGTCGTGGCCTGAACGATAAGAAGTCCGGTGCATTCGTATGTAGCGATGCACCGGTGTTCGAATCTCGTAGGCGGCTACCAATTTTTCTAATGAAATACGTACTTAACTAATGTACACGACTGATTTACACGGCGAAGGAATAACATCGTGTAATAAAAATCAAACCCGCAAAATTATAATTTGCGTAATCACTGGTGGTAGGAAAAAAACTTACAGTTATGATCAAACCATATTTTGAAAAAAAAAAAAGATCCTGTGCGTAAGGCATGTATTAAAATAATACTTACTAACAGACAAAACAAGTGGGCGTGGGGCGTTAACACCCGATCTATACAATTTTTTGCATTCTAAAATTGTAAAAATGTTGTTTTTTTTTTTATTGCTTAGATGAGTGGACGAGCTCACAGCCCACCTGGTCTTAAGTGGTTACTGGAGCCCATAGACATCTACAACGTAAATGCGCCACCCACCTTGAGATATAAGTTCTAAGGTCTCAAGTATAGTTACAACGGCTGTCCCGCCCTTTAAACCGAAACGCATTACTGCTTCACGGCAGAAATAGGTGGGGTGGTGGTACATACCCGTACAGACTCACAAGAGGTCCTACCACCAGTTAAAAAGTAAATAAAATTATAAAAGTAAATACAAATAAAGAAAATGATATCGTAGCTAATTAGCGTGCATCCGTTCTTTCCAAGACTTTAGCTCTTTGGATTCAGTGGTAGAGTACATTTTGATATTCAATCAGTATTTAAAACGTCCAGTAGAAATAAATTATTTCAATTTCGAATATCAAGTTGTTAAATACCTCGAGTAACGAGCAAACGGCATCTTCCGTTTCCAATAAATCGCCGGGAGATGTTCGTATTACATTTGCTATCAATGGACTCTCCTCTTCTTCTGTTATTGAAGCGACTGCAACTTTAATTGCTGCTTCGTATAAGAAAGTTCCGTCATCGCAAATCGCACCTTCAAATTCATAGTTTTTAATGAGTTTTTTTCTCTCTTCAGTCCCTTTTAATACAATAGAAACTCAAATTCGCCACTCACCTATGGTTTTGTCGCCGCACGTGAGATTAACTAAATGAAAACTTATCAGAATTATTATAGACCACAAACAATCAGATTCTTTACAACCTATATTCCACATCTTTGTCTTAATAGTTTGTTTGAACGCGCTTTTTTATAATCTAAGGCTAATAAAAAATCTAACGGATACTCAATCGTTCTACATATTGTTACGTGCACTCTTTGTAATAGTCCGAGATCTGCCCTACAATCTCCAATAATAATAACTAGCGGCTAAACTAAATTTAGATAGTGCTCTCTAGTTCGAACTAGGGATAATCTTGATACATAGTACATAGTTACGGTAACAATACTCCGATAAATCTAATTGTTTAGGGCTGGTTTTGTTCAAAATGTGGAATTTGATTATAGGTATGAGTACAGGAAAATATAAATATACATTTAATTAAAATCTACTCCACAAAAAAGCAAATCTTCACTGGACATCTTCATAGTTTATTTAGGGTAAATAAATGTAAACTTATTTAATTTCTTTAACACAATATTTGGTACAAGAAACTGTCTTTTCATTTAAAAAATATATAACAGCGCCATCTATCAAAACAGTGCTGTACTTGTTGCAGTTGAAGTGGTGAAACAATTAAAGCTTCTGAAGAATTAAAATAATACAACATATTTTTTTCTTATGTCAATATAAACGCTGATACGGTTCTGATAGAGGGCACTGTAATTTAAATTTAGAAAATATTTTACCAAAGGATGAGAAGAAATTCGAGGCATCTTGATCCCGGTAACCATCGCCTAAAATGTCTATATCCTTACCTTAGCTAGGGTGACGTATGTACAAAAAACAGGGTGCCTTGTTCGCCGAATCTACAAATCAGGTCTGATTATTAAACCAAATTTAATCTTTTCTTCCCAGAGTTAAAATGTTGGGTGATTCTAACATAAAATTATTGCTATATTTTTCAATGACTATTCTGTGGCAAAAAAAACTCCAGGATTACTGATTATTTACTTATTGGCCGGGTTTTCTTTTATTTGATATTTTATACCTATATATACGTTATTATCGCCTTATGGAGAGGTGAAGATGTTTCTGACGAGTTGCATCCGCCGTTGTTCCGAGTAGCCAGGTAGTAAGCACTTAGGTAGCCTTAAGGCCTTTAGTTGGCCACGGTGACTTCTTGTTGTGAAGGTCAGTGCTCTGAATGTGACAAACAATTCTAAGAGCTAGCGAAACTTGTCTTATGAGAGTTCGTTTTAAATCTCGTTTTAGTATTTCTTTGGAATAATATAATTGTAATTTAAATGATATATTCGTAAAAAAAAATACTATCTATATATTTTTTTCGAGAACTAGATTCATTTCATATAGGTACGTAGAACGCATGGATGCATTGAGAAATCTAATTATTTCCTCTACGACTCATTAAAACCTAATCACGTATGGGCAATCCCTCCGATCCTAAACTGTAACTCTAACTCAAATTCAATTACGTATTCAACTTTCGCTGCTTTACTAACGTTCAACTTTCGTTTCAGATTTGTATTTATTTATCTATCCATATGTTTGTGTCTCTAAGTTAACTTAGTATATTTTTTAAGGGATTTTATTACCTTGTAAGTAAGACCTTTAAGTCATATCTTATTGGAACGAAGTTCCTTATGGGACGATGCGGAGGGGTAACCTAACCGGGAAAAAACGTCCGTAACGTAAGATTTTTTCTATTTAGTTTGTTATCAACAGATGTCGCTGCACGTAAATTCAACAATTCCTGAATTGCGGTGACGAGATGTTACACAGTTGATAGACCTTCTCGTATTTCTCTGGCCAAATTACACATACATGGCGTAAAGGATACCGTGATCATGCAGGCGGTTCCCTCAGGGCGAGGCTGCTCCATTGCACTGCGAAGTGGTTGACCCTTGCGATTATTTTTATTTTTATCAATAAAAAAATCAAAATATAATGTATACCCGAATAATTATATTCTTTATACCTTGAATAGAACTTAAAATCATAGATTATACACTTAATATATTTGAGACTTAAAATTAATGTTTTTATAATAAGGAACTTCGTTCCTATCCGGTGTCCTACGACACCACACATCTTTTTTTAATGTATTTCTTAATTTTATGAAAAATTATAATATGGAGTGAAATGAAATGAAATGAAAATGATTAATTTGGGACATTAATAAACTGGGATGAAATTAAATAAAATGAGATGAGATGATATGAGATGAAATATAATAATATAATCTTAGTAAAATGGTGGTCATTTACTGAGATTTTTTCAGTTGACTTTTTGGAGGATCCCGAGAAGTTACGTCCAGCGGCTTTGTTTCATTTTCCCACATTTACGCACTTTCACAGATATTAAAGAGTTAATAAACCACCGTTATTACACATTTAAACCCGAAGAAACACTAAAATATAGACAAAGAAAACAAATCACACAACTTTACTCCTCGCGTTCCCGCCAAAAAGTCCCTAACTTAGTATTAATTAGCAACCTTAATTATTATTTTATCAACATGGAGTGAAAAGCAAGCACTACAGCAGTAATGATGAGATGTATTGTGACAGCTGTCACAAGCGATATTGTTTTTTCGAATTAGTTTGTTTTACAGTTGCCTTTCCAATATGCTGATACCTATATATTACATATTTTTATATGCATGCCTCACGGCCCAGCTGGTTTTCAGTGGTTACCGGAGTCATAATTACTAAAATCTCAGTTTTATAGTAAAACGGATGCCGACCTTTCAAACTGGAACCGACGACAGATATAGGCAGGGCGGCGGTACCTACTCGTGCGGGCTCACAAAACCCCGTGCGACCAGTATATTTTGTAATTGAAAATAATAAATTTGAAACAGGACGACGTATTTATTTTTAATAATCACACATATACGATCGGACAGCACAAGTGATGTTCAGATATTACGAGAGCACATAGAAATCGTGAAGAAAATGTTTCTTCCACCTTTGGTTACAAGGATGAAATTGCACTAGCAAAATTGGGTGAAACAGTAACTACCTGTTTTATTGTACTTATAGCTAAACGAATATAACCCATCTGATGGTGAGGGTTACCGTCGCTCATGGACGTCATTAGCCAGGGACAGAGCCAAGCTGCTGCCTGCTGAAATGTACCTTAAATAGTGAATATTCACCCGCTGAGTTTCTTGCCGGATCTTCTCAGTAGGTAGCGATTCCGATCCGGTGGTAGATTCTGCGAAGCACTACTCGTGCTAGGATAGTGTTAGCAAATTCTCTCAGGTTGAGCCCGTGAGCTCACCTACCCGTCCGGCGTAGCTCGAATAGCCTCTTAGGCTACCATCGAAAAGGTAGGAAAAAAAGTAAATATTTAAGGTACACTCCTAAACAATAGCCAGTACATAAATTATAAATACGGCCAGTTTCTCTTTACAACACTTACTTTACAACTTTTTAAAACAAGAATTATACAATTTCTCAATATTTCATCATCATAGCATCAGCCGTAAAAGAACTACAAAATAATGTACTACATACAGAAAACATCAGGCCAGCGAAAATAAATTCATATCAAATAATGTTTTAGAACTGAAATTTAATTTCAGTAAAGGTAGGGTCAGCAAAAAAGCAAGGACATATGCCGTCCCTGTTTACATATAAATGTTTGTGGGTCGATCGTTTGAACCCAAATATATTAGAAGCAAGATAAATTGAAGAGCCAAAGAATAAAACTTACAAAACACTATACATTTATGTATATGATGTTACAAAAATTCTTATGATAAAAATTAAGTCATTTGGTTAGTGTGATTTGATCTAATTAAAACTATTTTACAGTTTAATCTTTCCAAGTCGTCGGTGGCCTAGAATACTGTAAAAAGTTCGAAACATCGGAATTAATATAATAACAATTAAAAAAAAACGAGATCGAACCGTAAAAGTAGTTTTTATTATGTCTACTACCCGAAAAAGCCGAAGAAAATACTTTGTCGATCTAGGACAGACCAACTAATAAGCCGCCCTGTTTCAGATAGTCCCAAGACAGTAGACATCACAATGTCGGTGACTCTGCTCTTCGAAGTTTCCTTGAAGTTGCAACTCTGTTGTGTAACGATTATTTCACCATTAAAACGGGAATGCATGATTGCTTTCCACCAGAAATAGACAGGATTATAATAGGTACATATCCGTGGATACTCATAATACGCTCACAATTTTGTAGTTTTGTCTTTTTACATGATGCTATATCTTCATAGCTACTACCTATGTCGTTCATGAAGACGCCTTTGTACCTACTTACATAAAAAAGTACCCGCCAGATGGATTTGTACGGAATAATCGCATCATTCAACTTGAGAGTTTTACGAATGATACATAAGTTACTTTGTCAGATTTTGTTTGATTGTTTGTTACTTGAATTTTTTAGTATAGTATTCTTTGAACTTAGAATAAATACATGAGTTAAAGTTAAATTTTATATACAAACTTTTTAGGACGGTCTACATTTTTTTATATTCTCATTTGAAATGGAGCGTCGATGATGATTTATATCATCATTTGTATACCACATATATTACGGAAAATAATTAAGTTTTGTAATATGATCTAAAAAATTCAAGGACTTACAGAGTATATCAATTTTTGAGTATATCAATCATGTTAAGCTCACGTTATTAAAACACCACAAAATCGTCACTTTAATATGTAAATAATCTTGCAACGCTCATCAGTAAAATTAAAACGCGCCCGTTAACTGTCGATCGAACTGGAAACAATGGCCGGTCTAAATTCCAATCAAGGCGTAGCATTGTAAATCTTTGTTTACTCGATGCAGATGTGTCGTAGCTGCCAGCCGGAACTAAAGGTTGTAAGCAGAATTATCTGGATACTCGGATAAATTTAAAATTGGACATTTAAAAACATGATTACACTTTCTTGTGGCTGTGTACGGAGGAGACGAAGTTCTGTGGTATGAATAGAGGTAAGAATGTTGAGTGATTACCTCGTATAGACGGCATAGTTTTGGCCTTTTGATCTTTGACCCTTAACCTTTTGACATCGGTTCAAAGTCTCAATCTATAGTAATATATAAATCTACAGTGGTTTTAAGGGATGTTCCGTTATAACTACTGAACCATGCATCAGATTGACTTAAAACTTGGTTTTTTTTTTCCTACCTATGCTGATAGCCTTGAGAGGCTATTTCAGCTTCGCCCTAACG